TTGGGTCTACTCAACTCAATCTCACCAGTTTCCCACTATTTTATCCTCTTGCTTTGTCCTCTTGCTTCCTGGTTTGTCAGCTGGCAGCTACATGAGTTTGGAAAGACTTCCACCCAACATAGCATATAACAACGAGGACTACAGTCGGACTGGGCGTACTTTCTGTGTGGGCCACTTTCTTTATATAAATTTATTTCTTATACATATATGTATCAATGGGTTATTTTTCTCTTGAAAACCCAGCCTAGCCCAATATGGAGCACATGGGGATCACACTGAGTGTATCTTTAGGAAAAGGCAATAAAGAAGCTGAAAATTATCTGTCAGATCAAGGTCAAGAGTCTAGTTTCAGACTCAACATATGAACCTGAGTATATCCTACCTGAAAGTAAAGCCAATTGAAGAGTGGATTTTATTCTTTGATCATTGAACACTAATGATCCAAGACCAGGGGTGTTAAGGGATGACATCAAAGATATCAAATATGAAGAAAACAAAAGAACATTAAAAATAGTAGAAAGAAGAAAAAGACAAACATGGATGCTGGAAGAAAATATAAAGCTTGCTTTTAAATGTAGAATAGCAAAAATGAAAGGAAGAAAAGATGAAATAAATTACCTGAACAAATTATTTCAAAGGGAGGCGTTAAAAGACAAAGTAAAGAAGTATAATGAAATATGACAATGTCTGGAGGTGGAAAACCAAAAGAGAAGACACATTTGACATCTCATAAGCTGAGAGAACTGAATTACAAATTCAAGGCTCATGTGGCAATATTGAAATATTCTGGGGGAAAAATATTGATGAGCATTGATGGTGGTCTTAAAATCACGAGTGTCCATCTATTGATGTTTCCTTGTCCAGAGGAAAGAAGAGTAATGAAAAGTGAGAAGCATATGAAAACAATTAATTCCTTGCATTAGCAGACTGCAGGAACATCCATCTCCCTGACCCTGTGAATATGAGAACAATGTGGTGCCGGGGTATCATTATCAACTGCTCTGAACATTGGGTATGTCTGCTGCACAAGAACTCGTTAGATATTAGTTTGAGTACTAAGGTTCACCTGACCCAAGCCATGCTATTTTCAATTGTCTAATATGAATGTGAAAGGTCAACATTGAATGAAGAAGACAAAAGAATTGATTATTTGAATTATAGTGCTGGTAAAGAATATTGAAATATCGTGGACTGCCAAAAAGACAATCTGTCTTGAAAGAAGTACAGCCAGATTGCTCCTTAGAGGTAAAGATGTGAGATGTTGCTGCATACTTTGTACATGTTGTCATGAGAGACAAGTCCCTAGAGAAGGGCAACAAGCTTCGTATAGTAGCAGGGTAGTGAAAAGAGGAAGGTCTTTACCAAGAAGAATTGGCATAAAGGCTACAACAATGCGCTCAAACATAAGAACAAAAGGGAGGAAGGTGCAGGACCGGATGGTATTGCCTTTTGTGGTACATCATCCTAACATGATGGCTGAACTAGCCCCTAGGCATTTCTGGGCTATCATCTTTACAAGAGTAGACGATCAGATCCTCCCCATCCCCCAGAATGTTGGGAGAACCTTTTCATTGACAGCCAAGAGTGTAACCATTGCACACAAGAGTTCCTTGAATACACAGGGCATCGAATCACTTGCACAATACATTTTACACAAGCATTTATACTTGATGGGTTGGAAGACAAACAACACAGAATCTTCAAAGGATTGACTTTACTCTCCCCAATTCATAATAGGCAGACTCAGACCTCCTCAGTTTGTTATTTTGTTACATTTTTAATAGGCCATAACCAATTTCCATGTAGCATATTCCAACTCACGGTGACGTTATAGGGCACAGTAGAACATATCACTATGTTTTCTGAGGATATAAATTTTTTTTCTGAACAGAAAACCTCATATTGAAGAGCAGCTAGGGGATCCAAACTGATGACCTAGCAGTTAGCAGTCCAGCACATAGCAGAGTACATCAACAGGTCTTATTTCAAAGGCCATATCTTAGTCTAATTTACCTCTCTGGTAAAGAACATATATTCCAAAAATAAGGTACGTTAGCCATAAACTTTGCCACCTAAAATAAACTATTTTGTCATAAAATGCCTATTGTTCATATAAATCAATATGAACTGTCAAAAATTTTGTTTCAAAAAGATTACTGTATTTTCTATCAATGCTTTTTCATGTACAAACTAATTTTGCTCCTATTAATATTAGGGGTAGGTTTTTAATTTTATTTATTTATTTTATTTTTTTAGGGGTAGGTTTTAACCTTGTATTACTTATGTGTTTTTTATTTAACTAAATCACATGTTTTTTCATATAAAGTACTTAAAATGTAAATTAAGGCAGTATTTTTAAAGGCTAAAAGTAAAAGATAGATTCTTTTAAGTTATGATTGTTGGCTGATTTTCTTTTCTGAAATTTCACAGCATCAATGCAGAACAGTGAATTATTCCTAGCTCCTCCAGCAATTGTCTCTGTAACTACATCAAAGGACCTTTTCTTGATAGACTTGGGTATGAGAAGGTAAGGGAAGATACTGACAGGTTTTATGTGTGAGTGCTTGCAATCACGATTCATTATGATTGTCATCCATGTACCATCTCAGAAATAGGGCATGGGACCTCATTACTAGCAAGATAGATGAGGCAGGAGTGGAGAGTGTCCTTTGAGTCATGTGTCTGATTTGTCTTTCTCTGCGGGACCACTGGTTCCTAGAATTTAAATTGAGGACCATGAATTGACCGAATTTCATCAGCTCCTGCACCCTTAAGAAAAATGAAGATCTTCCACATAAACATCTAAGTTTTGAATTTTGGATTTACCTGAACCCACTCAACATGAGTCATTTTCTTTTATGTTGTGCATCCTGGGTGTTCATTGTGGTACCCAAAATCTTTGGGACATAAGGGAGTGTAATAAGGGGAGCAAAAGGAATGTCCTAAGGAGAGAAGGTGATGGAGCGGTACAGCAGTTTGGGAAGGTGATACTTTTGTGGTGTATTTAATAGCTACCTTCTTGGGATTAATCTTGTGTTAATTTTTCTCAAAATAAATAATTTCCACAGTCAGGAAAATGTCATGGTCACCACTGTACAGTGCACTTATTTAAAAAACAAAAAAAGATTATCTTAATTATATTGAGAGAAGGAAAAACTTCATGCAGAACAAATTAGTGTAGTAACAACATCTACATTCAAAGGGGTGCATTATCAAAACATCAAAAAGACACTGAACTAGTAAAATGGTGAAACAAATCATAAGGGAATTGAGGATTGGAGAAGAGAGAAGAGAACTCAACAAAATTAGTAAGAAAAATGTTTTGTGAAAACATTTACAGGTGGAAATTTGGTGTATTGAAAACACTTAGAAAGAGGGATAATTATAAATATAATTTGAATGTTTCTTATGACAAAGCATTTTTGCCTAGGATTTCATAAAATTGCATATTGAATCTCATCCATATGCAATACTACTCCTTTTGTATTCTTTATTTTTGTAATATTATTTTCTTCACACGGTCATAGATCTGCTTGGTTCTGACACCATAGATCACAGGGTTGAGCATCGGTGGCACTATGACGTAGAGATTGGCCAGAAGTATGTGGATATAACGGGGAACATTTCTGCCAAAGCGATGTGTCATAAAGGAAAAGAGGGCTGGGGTGTAGAAAGCAAGGATAACAAAAACATGTGAACCACATGTGCTGAGAGATTTAAGTCGGGCTTCACGTGAAGGTAGATGGAAAACAGCACGCAGTATTTGGACATAAGACATAGCAATGGCTATGATGTCAAACACTAGATTACAAATGGCACACAAGCCATAAATCACATTGACCTTGATACTGGCACAAGACAGGCGAGCAAGACCCATGTGCTCACAATAGGTGTGAGGGATGACGATGACATGATTCCCACAGAAGGGTAGTCGTATAATAAGAAATATAAATGGAAGTGCAAAAATAAATGACCTCACTAATACACCAAGACCAATTACAGAAACAACCTTGGTAGTGAGAATGATGCTATATCGAAGTGGGTTGCAGATAGCCACGTAACGATCATAAGCCATTGCCATGAGAACTGCTGATTCCATAAGTGTGAAGTTGTGGATGAAAAACATCTGGGTGAGGCAAGCATCAAACACTATCTCTCTAAGGTTGAACCAAAAGATACCAAGCATCTTAGGGATGGTAGCTGTGGAGAGACCCAAGTCAATGGTGGCTAACATGGCCAGAAAGTAGAACATGGGTTGGTGCAGGCTGCTCTCAGTCTTTATTACAAAGATAATCATACAGTTTCCTAAGAGTGCAATCACATACACAGCACAAAAGGGAAATCCAATCCAGATGTGTAGTGTTTCCATTCCTGGGATTCCTAACAGTAAGAAAGATGAGGGGTGGAATTTTGTGTCATTGGTAGGGAGCATTGTACATGGTAATGCATATATCCACTGTTGTATTCATCCAATCCTCAGGGCAACACATAAAATACTGCATCATTGGAGACATAAGAATGACATAAGATTATAATGTATGTACATTTTCTTCTGTAGATCATGCTATAACTTAAATTTTACTAGGTTTATAGCACTAGCTACAAGTGGTATCTCAAGCATAGGGTCAGAGGGAAAGTTAAACAGCAAAATATAATAAAATGCTATATATGGTACTTTCCATTTTGCCAGCATCCTCGCTTCTTTTTGAAATTAGTCTCTTCAATGATTTAATATTAAGATTTTGCCTGAACTCTCACATTACCTCCTATCATTATTATCATCACTGAAATATCATGTTGAGATTTTTAGCAACTTAAAATTCTACTCAGTTATTATAAAAATGGCCATATTCCAGTTGATTCAGTATAAAATAATAAAATAAGAAATAGGCATTAACATACCAAAATCCAAACTCACTGCCATGCATTTCATTCCTACAAATGGTACCTCTTTATAGGTTCTTGAGTCTATACATCTTTATGCAATCTCATCTTTCTCCTGCAGAGCAGCTGGTGGGTAGAAACCATCAACTTCCCAGTTAGCCATCCAATGCTAACCTAGCAGGCCCAACCGGACTCAGTATACAAGGATTATAATAGTCATATGCAGACTCATTAACATTCACACCAAAATATTACAGGTCATTTAAAACTGAAAGTCACTTTAAAATCTATTTAGTCATTACAAAATACCACCAACCATCTGCCAACTTATTGTTTTATGATGACTTGTGTGTTACTATGATGCTGGAAGATGTGACACCAAAATTTCTAATGCCAATAGCATTCCTCCTAGTGGAAAGGTTCCACCAGAGCTTCATGACTTAGACAGGCTGTGAATAAAACCTTATTATCATTATTTTGAAAATCACACAATGAAACCTTTGTGCATCAGAACACAATATTGACTTATGTGGTTTTGTAATGTGAGCTCATTAAGTAAGAAGAAACTAAAATACATCGTCGCCAAATCAGTGAATGTGAATATCTCAAAGATCTTGAAATGGCATAGAACTATACAATATCATGTTCTGCTGTACATCATGTTTCCTTGAGTCAAGATAACTTGAAAACAGCTAGAAGT